GTGAAATATATGAAGATATTTAATCCTTGTCGCTTACATAAAGTTGTATTATCTCACGTTAATAATAATGATTATTACATAATTTCATTAATAACTTTATCTACAGAAAATATAAATTAAGAAAACTCAGTGGAGTTAATGCGTTTACATTTCTATTATTCTCATGAAACTGTTCAAATACGTGTATTCTATAAAAATAATTAAACCAAACCGTGAGAAAATATATAATAAATATCAATATTAGAATGAATGTTGTATATAATAATTAGCAGCGAAGACAAATTTCTATTCATCAAAATATAAAATTGCATAAAGATCCACTGACTAATGATAACATTGTATAATTTTAAGAGTAAAAAGTAATTTAGATTAAAGTTTCTATAATTTTTAATAACTTTTGACGCACAAACTTTTTTTTTCGAAAAATTAGTAATATTATTAAGAAGTTTCAAAATTAATAGTCGAGAAACGAGAAGTTTTAAGAACATGTACTATTTTGAATGTATGATATTTTGAGCATTAAAAGCTACTGAAAATAAAGAAAATTTAATCTAAATTATTTTATGTTATATATAATTTATTAAATATACAATTATATAATGTAATATAACTTATACCAATTCTAATATTATTTATCAAATTTTATTATAGATGTCTAGAAATTCCTTTTAAATTAATTTATCACCAAAAAAAAAAAATATGTCGTATTAACTTTGCTATAAATTTTAAAATTTAACACGCGAAAATATATAAAATATCCATAGTTCTTTCTGTAATATTTGCAAATCATTCGCAAAAGTTTCATTTTGCATAAAAGATTCGTCTAAATCAACGATATCAATTCTAAACTCACATCTAACGACGTTAACCAAGAATTTCCAATTTTAATCGAGGCATTATTTTTTATCTGACGTTCGCCACGAGCGGGGTGAACGAAATCTACGTAATTAAGACTTGGCGAACAGAAAATTCGCCAACAGGGAATAACAGCGACCATCGTCTCTAAATACTTTACGGGCGAGTCAACAATTCGTTTCCCCCGTGTCGTTGCAATGTTATTCGTACGATGTTAAACGCGCGAATAGCCCGTGAACGAACACAAGCTACGTCGCATTTACATTGTTTATTACCGGACGCGTACGTATCGTGACTGGTGACAGACACCACGAGAGAAATTTGCTGTTCATTACTTTCACGGCTCACGGCACGTTACGTAAGTATCTCGTAATTCTTAATTCGCGACGTTCTAATGATAGCCGCGGACACAGAAGCACGGTGATTTACCGATACGTTGCCGGACAGAAACTAATTTAACTATCGAGCTGTGACGCCGTATAAATTGAATGAATAGTGCCTGCCAATTTTAGCGGACTTTTATCTGTCTTTATTTTTATCTGTTATTGGCTCGGTTTATGTAAATTGGATGATAATGATAGAAAAGGATAGGCAGATTTCTATTTATTGGTAGATGTTAATGAAGAGTAACGAAAAAGAAAAAAAACTACTCGGACGAGATTCGTACGTTGAATTTATTATTGTTTTTGGCTATCGCATCCTTGTGAAGGAAACTATAAAAATGCAGAAACAGTGCTTGACCAAGTATCAAAATTTTACTCATTGATCTCAATAGTTTAAAGAATAATAGTTGATAATTCCTTTAGAAAGGAATTATATTCTTTCTGTTTTCTCTTCGTCCTGACTATTATGCGAACCAATGTATATTGATTAAGTGAGAAGTGATTGAACTGCTCATTATTTTTTCGATTTCACAAATAATATCTAATTCTGTTTGAAATTTCTCCGTTTTCCATTTCTTCTGAAAAACGTACTTTTTTAAGTTGCATCGCAAGGGCGTTATTAATAAATCATCATTAAATAGTGTCATTTAATTACCTGATTATTTTGGATTAATGAAACCAAAAACATCATACGTCAAGTTTTAGGAGATCGTTGTAAAAGAAAAAAGGGTTTAATCTCTTCAAATCCACAGTAGATTTAGTCATGAAAAAAATTTTTTAATATTTTTACACACTATGACAGTTTGTAGTGCTGTATTTCGTTGCATGATGTAAAAACATCTCACAAAAATATAAACGATGCACTGTGAAAATTAAGATTTCATGCTTTTTTAAAACGTGTCCTGATTGATTGTTGTAGGATTTTTTTTTTCACTAAATTATAACAACAACGATTTCTGAGTGGACGATTTTGAAGTAACATGATTTCAAGTGACCAAAAAAGGTGGACGAATAACGAATCTAACAGCATGTCTTTTGCGAAGTTTGGTTAAAAAATATATAGAATTGTTGTGTTGTATTACTGGTGGCTGCAAGTAAATAATTTAAAGAATAATAATCTGAAGAGCTCGCTGATAATATGACCGAGTCGAAGCATTTTTCTAAAATCAATTTAGCAAGAATTCTATGAATGAAAAGCGAATGAAAATTAAAGTTGTAGAAAAACAATCATTTTTTTAAGGCTAACATGTCTTTGATAAATCTTTGTACATTAAAGGTTGAAACTATTATTCATTCTATATTTCCAATAAATATCTCCCAAGTACTCAAATTTCCCGCGAAATCGAGAAAAAAATGTTTTTCTCGAAAGTGTTAATTAACCAAAATAACTCTATTATGTCTATTCTTTGTATATCTTAATCCTCGAATTTCCATTCAAAAAATTGCCAATCTGAATCACCTTTAACTTATGTCAAAATCGTTGATGCTAGATATGACGCATTGTTAATCACGTTTATATCATAATGTATAAGGAAAAAAAAGAGAGAATATCCTATAAACTCGTAACTTTTTGTTTATTTGAAATTAGTACGGACAAACAGATTCTGCATGGATCAAAAATGCTGTCGAGGCAATTGCCATCGTGTGTACCAGAAATGGTATGCAGTGTAAAGCTTAATACATAAAATATGTAAACTTATATTATTTTTTTAGCTCATTAAGAGCTTTTGGAAATTTCTTTGTTATTACAATGAATGTTGAGATTAGAGAGTACACTATACAAAAAAAAATGTTTATTCGTATAAAAAGTATAGAAAAATGAAGGGATTAAGGCATAAAGCAGGAATTTCATTCGGCGTGCAACTGAGGTTATCAAATTCTGAGTTGCCAAACACGCGGCACTCAAAGTGTCAAAAAACATAGTTGTTAAGATTCAACAGATCTGGGTTTGTTTTTTCTCTTCTGAGTATTTTTCAAGGAATTAAAGAAAAATGCACGCGAGGTTTTAAACCGTTGCGAAGTTTACGAAACTAGCACCGTTATTCATAAAATTTTTAGAGGTTGTTTATTTGCATATCTAATATTTCTTACGTAAATCCACGGGTGCCAATCAATTAAGCGTTAACATTAATAGGAATTTAAAGCACTGTAGTGAACCGTTTCAGTGATCCTCATCACTGTAATTCCCATCAGCAGGGAAAACGATATGGTAAGAACGGCCGGAGGGTGGTCGTGGCGATGATGTCCCCGTGGCGACGATCGGGGCGTGTAGCCGCGCGCAGGCAGTCACGCGTGCACGCGAGATTACGAACGACGCCGTTTACACCGAAACGGCGAGCAATTGCGGGCCAGCTGTGGCTCTCTCTCCAGAATCCGAGGCCCGTTCCTCGCGGACGGTCCCAACTCGCCTCGGATACCTGCCACCAGGTGTCTCCACGAGCAGTGCCCAGCAGCAAGAGGCAGGAGCAGTCGTCGGGGCGCCTTCGCACCGCCAGCATCGCGCGCGTCTCTCCTCGTTGCCGTTTCCACGTTCGTTCACGTTCGCCGCGAGCATCCCTCGACGATCGCTCGCGAATCCAGCCGTGAAATCGCCGAGCATGAGGTCCGCGACCCGAGTCGTCGTCCGTCACGTCGGCCAGTGAACCAACGATCGAAGCGGACCGGCCCCTCCCCCCGTCGATTCCCTGTCACCAACGAAAATCGTCGGATCGACGGATCCAATCCTTCACCCTCGCCAATGCTGTCGGCAACACGTCGGCAGTCGTCGCTCCACCTGACCCGTGACGATTCCTTCAGCGACGGGGAAGGATGCAACAGCAGCAGCAACAACAGCAGGATCAGGAACAGGACCGGGGGATCGTAACAGTCTTGTCGTCCTCCTCTTCCTCCTCTTCCTCGTCGGCAGCCACGTCCACCAGCACCGAGCATCGCGACGTCGCCAGCGTGACAGAGGCCGGATCTCTGCCGAATCTCACGTTACAGAGCGTGGCTCTTGGACTCCAAGGAGCGTTGCTCGCTGCCCTTCAAAGGGTTGCTCTACTTCCGCCCGGGCATGCCGCCGCCGCGGCGCTCAATCTCCAGGCACTGGAGACCTATCTGACTCTTCATCGTCTTCACGCGAGCAGCGCCGCGCCTGGTGTCGGCCAATCTTCTGCCCCGGGGCTCGCTAATCAGAGGTGTTCCCCGGTGAACGCCGGACTAGAGACCGCGTTGACATCTGCCACACCGTCGAAGAACGATCAGCTAGCTGCCGAACGGCTGCTGCAGTCCACCGACGACGAGGACGATGCCCGGTTGGACTTCATCGGCGATCCGGACGATGATCTGGCTCTGCTGGAAGAGCAGGAAGCGCTGTTGAGGGACACTTCCGTTGGCACGTCGTCGAGCAACCACGAGGCGCTGCTGCGACGGATATCGGAAGGGAATCGCGTTCCGAGTTCGAGTTCCACGACCGCGCCACCGCAGTCGTCGTCCCTGTCGTCGCAGATAGCCGTCTCGTCGTTCGCGTCGTCGGCGTCGTCGTCCGCCTGCTCCTCGTCTCCCTCGTCTTCGTTGACCTCGTCGTTGCCCTCGTCGTCGCCGCTTCAAGCCACGTCCACCTCCGCGGTCGAGTCGAGCATACCGCGGACATGCAGAGTCGCCAGACCGAAGAAGCAGTTCATCTGCAAGTTCTGCAGCCGGCAGTTCACCAAGAGCTACAATCTGCTGATACACGAGAGAACGCACACCGACGAGCGGCCGTATTCGTGCGACATTTGCGGAAAGGCCTTCCGACGGCAAGATCACCTGAGGGACCACAGGTAAGTTGGAGAATGGCACGTTGTCCGTTGGTACGTAGACGCATGTACCAACTTTTTACAAGATTTTCGAACACTTTCAAAGTTTTGAATCTTGCTTCGAATTCATCAGTGTCAGCGT